AAAAGTAAACGTGGCAGAAAATCTCATTATAATGGGGAGCAATTAATGACACAGACTCACTTTAGAAAACTTAATTTTTAGCATGTGGTTACGATTTTTAGATTGGCCGCAAATTAAAAGCACCTCCTAGGAGAAGTTTAGAATACTTTTACTTATAAATTGTTGAGGGTGGATATTTTAATGCGTATATTTAGGCATGAACACAAAACAATTACGATGGTCCCTTTTTCATCCATGAAGGCAATAGATGTCTTTTTTACATGCTGACAGCGCATAAAAAAGAGTGATTAAAATTGCCAGATGCAGTCCAGGATATTTTAGATGCGCGGTATTTGGGATAGTATACGTAGGTCAAGGAAAAATATCAAAGCAAACTGATTAAGTATCGCTGATTTATTATTTGCAGTTGGCTGTTTCCATATTTTTCTACTAAATATTCACTCTCTAGCATGCTGAATGACATTGCTACGCGTTTAATGGGGCGAAATCTCAATTGTTCAGGGTTATTCGCTGTTAATTGATAACTTCATTATGATTAAGGCAAAATTGGATACTAAAAATTGGGATAAAAGGCTTTTTAAGGTTTCTCCACATATGTGTGAATTTGCGCTGTGTTACACATACGCTAGTTGGAAGCATTTATTAAATGTCAGCATAAATTCTTCCGTAGCTAAGAGAAATAAGGATCTGCAGATGTCTCCAAACATTTCTGTATCATTCAGGTTGCGATGCTTGCAGCGTACTTTCCTTAAGGCAGAGAGTTGCTGCAAACCACACTTTCACATAACGCCATATTTTTGCGACAGTGTAAATGGACTGGCCTGGGTTCTATCGAGGTTTTTAAACAGGGTACTAGGGAAATGAACATCAGAAAACCAGGTCCTTGATACTGGTGCACTCCACCCTACTTAACTCCATTTTCTCCCCTTATACTATATTGTAATACTTATGTTGTTTGAATTGGCCTTTCAGGGAGGAGGCAAGCAGGAAATTCGAACCTGGTAACTGGATCGCCCTCTCCCTTACCTAGCGACTGCGGCTCCCCTCCTTCTTGAATATTGTATTTTCCCTATACATCTTGTCGTCTTTAATAAAGATGTCCAAAGTAAACCAACCGGGCTTGTCTAGGAACGCTAGGAATCGGGAAGCGGAGACCGAGGAGTCTCGCTCCACAATATTGCTAAATAAAATGCCACTAGAATCGCAGCCAAATAACATGGTGGGAAGCTCACACGGACATAGAATCCCTTGCTAGTAATAAGTCACCTTTTACACCAATTCCTCCTCTACCGCTTTCACTAAGCAGTTAACTAGTCATTTAAAAAACGTTAATTTATGCGCTCAAATGCACTTCACACCTACAACTACAGCTTGATGTCAATAGAAATTTTGATTTTATCAAATAATGAGAGAGACAGAACAAACCAACTTATTCTACTTTTCAAGTTGTCTTGCATTTCCAGCCCTAAGACTTTATTTTTTGCAGAACCTTGTTGTCTACGAGCCATCACCAGAGTTCCCTTAAATTTATGCTTCTCTCGTATGTCATTTATGCCTCACACACCTCCAGTTCATAACTAAATCAGCCAATAACTGTGCTCTGAGGCTAAATCGGCTAGGTAATTTATCGAGTCAGTGGCTGTCATTTTAATGCTAACTTTAGACTCGTTAAGCATTTTTAAAATAATCCAGCAAGAATAAACTTTATTTTGCACTCCAGACGGATCCTTTAAAAATCCACCCCACTTACACAGCGGGTAAGAAATAAATCAAAAAATAATTAAGAGAACAAGAGTAGGTAAATCCTCCCAACAATTTATATGCTAAATAAATTGCCCTAGCCTATCTAAAAGATTGGTGATTGAATCTTTTTTCCTGCGAGGCATCGAGCACCCTGCTAATTTTGAATTAGTTTGCCTGGATAAGAGACGACATGTTACTCTCTTTAGAAGTAACCATCATTGTTATCAGTAATTAAAATCCCACAAATCGTCTCCACATGGTAATCAAAAGAAATTTTAGCATGCACCGTAATTCAATAAAGAACTGTATTTGGCTACTCAGGTTATACATCCAGCACAAGTGTCATATAGTGTGTTTTAGGGCTGCTCCTAAGCAGTAAATATATTTTTTCTTTTTCCCTTTTTAATTGTCCCAGTCGGTATAAAATAATTCTGAGTGGAATTAAGGAAATGAGTGCAGGTAAATAGCATCACTACTTCATGTAAACCAAACAAACACTTCAGAACTCTAACCAAAAGAGTGGTATTTGAATCAATTCTTATCTGTCAGGGCAGTGAGCAACTTGTTTTACCAGTGAAGCATTTTCTTGGGAAGTTGCTGATGGCTGTGGGGTGGTTGTCTGCAGGAGGCTGTTTGATAAGACCTACTAGAAAAAATTGGTCGAATAATCTTCCTCAACTTTAAGAACACCAAAAAAACATATTTTTACTTAAATTCCTTTGGAGTCAAAGATTTGATCATTCTTTTGTCCTTTTAAAGAAAACCCAATAATTTAAATTGGTGTTTTGCTTTAAATGGTCTAAATGATGAGAAATTAGCCAAGTCCTCTGCGAGTGAAGGATTACAGCACAAGTTAATGCGATTAACTTGGTGTTTTCACTTAGGATGCCGTAGTTTCATAGCGGAAGAGGGATCAGCATAGATTTGTCTGCAGGTCTTTGTTTGGGAGGGGATTTGTCTGTATTATTAGCGTGGACATGGATATGACCTTGCAATCACGTTATCGTAACTTGTGTACGAAGCCGCAGAAATACAGCGACAGCAGCCAAAGCAACTTTTATGATTTACTAAAGATGCCCTGCTTCAATTGCGACTGACATTCCACCATACACGGTTCATTTTACCTATTGCACTTACAAGATATCTCCACTAGTTTATACATGAATTGTTAGATACGAAGGTGA